TCCCCACTTTGAAATAATCCCCCCCCTCCCCATCACCACCACCTCGCTTTGGAGGAGGAGGTCAGGTTATCCCGTTGCTACCAGACCCTCCCTGGGCAGTCCAGTCACTGCTTTAGCCCCTTTTTAACAACCCTCCCATCATCCTCATCCTGTCCCAGACGTGCTAGAGAGGTCACCTCATTGCTTTCACCCCTTGAGATACCTCCCCCTGCTTTGTGCATCCCGGGGGGTCACTGTGTCACTCCCATCGATGCCCCCCCCCCCCGCCCCCCCATCCCCCCCCATCCCGGAGGCATTGGGTCCCTTCCAACCACACCTGGGGAAACCAGTCCCCAAATATTTCCCTTTGTTCTTTCATGGGGTGTCCCACAGGTGGGGTTGGCCAGCGTGTCCCCAAGATGCCCCCAGGGTGTCCTTGGGATGTCCCCAAGTTATTCCTGAGCTGCCCCCAAGGCGTCCACTGGGTGTCCCTGAGTTGTGTCCGAGTTGTCCCCAAGCTGTCCCCTGGATATCCCAAAGCTGTCCTCAGATCGTCCACAGGGTGTCTCCAGAGCGTCCCCAAGCCATCCCCAGAGTGCCCCCAAGTTGTCACCAAACTCTTACGGGGGTGCCCTCAAACTGTCCCCGGAGCGTTCTCAAGCTGTCCCTGAACTGTCCTCAAACTGTCCCCAAATTGTCCCCAGGCTGTCCCCAAATCCCAGGACGGTTCCCACAGCGCCGTACCTCTCATAGCTGCTTTATTTTTCCCAGGTCCGTGCCTACATGGGGGCGTTCGCCGCCGACTTCAACGAGGACGCCGACCTCAGCGCTCTGCGCTTCCTCTCCGTCAACTCCATCGTGGACCCGTGGGTCTTCATCATCTTCCGCACCTCCGTCTTCCGCCTCTTCGTGCGCCGCCTGTGCCGCCGCCTGGGCTCCCGCCGGGCCACGCTGAAGAGCACGGGGCCGGGGGGGGACGGGCAGTTCTGTCCCCAGGGATGGCGTGGACCAGGCACCCCGCAGCTCGTCTTCCCCTGAGTGCAGTGCTGGAGGAGCTGGGGGAGCCAGGAGCGAGCCGTCGGCCTCGGGGACTCAGGGGTGACGGCGCCCGGATGGCGACGGAGAGCGGGCGGCGCTGTGCCGCATCCCCGGGATAGGAACCCTGAGGGGTGCCTGGAGAACTGTGAATGCTGCCGTGCAGCGGCGCTTTGCGAGGTGTGGGCAGCACCCGGCGCTGGGGAAGCGTAGGGGTCGTTGGCGTGTGGCTTCGGGGCGGTGCTGTGCCGAGGGGCAGTGCCGTGGGGACGTGCTGGGAGGAGGGATGTGTGCCACCCCGTGCGGAATAAAGTGGTTTGGAGCCCGGTGCCATCACCTCGTGCCTGTGGGTTATCCCTGGGGGCTGCCCTAGGGTGTCCCCAAGCTGTACCCAGGGTGTCCAGCAGTTGTTCCCGGGCTGTACCCAGAGTGTTCCTAAGGGGGACCCATGGTGTCCCCACGATGCCCCTGAGATGTCTCATAGCTGTCCCTGAGTCATACACAAGTTGTCCCCAGGATGTCCCCAAGCTGTACCCAGGGGATCCCCAGGGTGTCCCCAAAATATCCCCGGGCTGCCCCTGAGCTGTTCCCAAACTGTTCCCAGGCTGTCACCATGGTGCCACTGGGCTCAGGATGGGTGCACCATCCCGGCCCCACCTGAGCTCAGGGCTCAAGGTCCCCCCAGCACTGACGCTGTGTTTGTGCCGCTCAGACGGTGCCAACAGCAATGATTTTAATCCACTATTTATGATCAGCCCGTTAATAAGAGCAGCTATGGAGAGAAAAAGCAGAGCCTTGGATGGATCACCCAGTGCTGCAGCGTGCAAGCAAGCCATCATGGCAGTGAGAGCCCCATTTCCCCTCTGGGTGCTGCCTCCAGTGACAAGTTTAGGACAAAAGATGGCGGCAGCCACCATCCCCATCCACACGGCGTCCTTGGAGCAGATGGAGCCATACTTCTTCCTGTGTTTATCCAGCCCTGTAAGGTGCAGCCGTGCCCCGCCAGCTCTGCACAGTGTTTACTTTGGTTGTCAAACCGATATTGCGTTTGGAAGAAGAAACCCGTGTGAATGCGGCGCTGCTGGAGGTGACCTGTGGCAGTGTCACATGAACCGTGTCCCCGCTGTCCCCCTCCATCCCCACCCACCCCTCTGCCCCACGGCTGAGCCCGTTCCATCTCTCCCAGCTCACGCCATCCAGGCACAGCTCTGCCAAAGCTCATTTCCCAGCACTGCTCTCTGTCCTTGTCCCGTTCCACTGCCTGGGCGCATTTTGCAGCCGCTCCCCACGTGCCTGGGCGGGCTGCGGCGCGCAATGCACAGCCCCACAGTTTCTGTGGGATTCCTGCAGTGCTCTGACAAGCCTGGGGCTTTCCTCCAAGTGGGACAGCCCTGCGAGGCTGCTCCCAGGGAAAGCCATGCCAGCAGCCCCGGGGAAGACATGTGCTCCTTGTTATCCCCGAGATAAACATGGAAGCAGGAGGAGGAAAACAAACGCTTCCCAAGAAATGGACGGGCTGTACCACCAAGCGGTGCGTTCCTGCTGTGGAGCTCAGGAAAAACAAGCCAACAAACCCAGCGATTTTCCTGTGATTGCAAAAATATCCCATCAGAGGCAACCGCTGGTCGAGAAGCCCGAAGCCCACGTGGGTATTTAAGGCTCCATTAGCGCAAGGAAAACGGGCTCCAGGAGTGCCCAGGCTGTGATGCGGAGCAGCAGTGGGAGGCTGGGAGCAGCCCCTGTGGGAACACTGCTGCTCGTAATGCTTTGCCCCGTGGGTTGGCACCGCTCGCCCAGCATTTACCATCTGGTTTTTGAGGTGCTGTGCAGAGCTGAGTTGGACTCAATGATCCGTTGGGTTCTGCCTGGGAACCGAACCAAAGCGGCACATCGGAAGTGAAGGTGCTGTCACAAACCGCAGCTCACCCAGCCCTGGAGTCTGCCTTCAGCATATTTCCTTGACAAAGTTCCTGTTACCAAAGGGAACTCGAAAAGCGCAGCAATGAAGATGTGTGTGGCAGAAAGCGGCGTGCCCACGGGAAGCTGGTTGGCACCACTGAGCATTGATGGGTTTTGGGGACCAACGGGCACCGGGGTGACCACTGGGGTATGGATAAGAGGCGTGCCTGAGCCCTGCTTGGGCTGGATCCATGGTTGGATCAGAGCATGGTTGGGTTGGAAGGGACCTCACAGCCCCCCCAGCCCCTCCTCTGCCGTGGGCTGGGTGCTCACCACCAGATCAGGCTGACCACGGCTCCATCCAGCCCAAGCCATCATAGAATGGATCGAGTTGGAAGGGACCTTAAAGCTTGTCTGTTTCCATCCTGAGGTGGGGAGAGGTTGGGCTGTTCCCCATGGGATCCCTCCAGCAGTGCCCAGCCCAATCCTGGCTGCTTTTTTTTTCTTCACTCAGGACTTGTGTGGGCTTCGGTGCCTGCAGCACCCACACAGTTTGGGGCTGTGGGGTCCCATCTCTACAGCTGGGACTCCCCCACAGACTGCCTGACACCTCGGGCTGGCACTGGGGCTTGGTGTCTGCCTGGGGCTCCTCGATCAGTACTGCTACTCAGCCTGCATTGAGGTTCCTGCTGTGAGTCTGGGATTCCCACATCAGCACTGGGGCTCATGGTGAACCGAGGGCTCCCAGATTATCACCGGGGCTCCTAAATCAGCGTTAGATCTCACTGTGCATGTGGGCTCCTGCAGAGACACTAGAAGTGAAGCTTGCCATCAGCCTGGGGCTCCTACGTAAGCACTGGGACTCGTTATGAGCCCAGGGTTCCCAAATCAGCCCTGGGGTGCTCTGTGTGTTGGGATTCCCAGCTCAGCACTGTGGCTCACCATGTTCCGAGGCTCCCACCTCAGCATTGGGATGTGCTGTGCGTTGTGGCTCCCAAATCAACATCTGGGTACATCAGGGCTCCTGAATCTCCACTGGGGCTCACCATGAGCCCAGGGCTCCCAGATCAGCACTGGATCTCACGATGCATTGAGGATCCTTCAGTGACACCACAAGTGGGGCTTACCATGAGCCTGAGGCTCCCAAATTGGCACCAGGATGTAGCGTGCACCAGGGCTCCCAACATCTGCATCAGTGCGAGCTGTGCTTCGAGGCTCCAAAATCCACACTGAGTGGTGTCATGGCTCCCAAATCAGCATCATGTCATGGCTCCCAAATCAGCACTGGGGGTCCCACACCGGCACCAGCACTGGGAATGGCAGCGAGCCTGGGCTCCTAAATGAGCACAGGGGCTCCCTTTGAGCCCAAGGTTCCAGATCCGCATTAGGGCTCGCCGTGCCCCGGATATCACCGGGACTCTCCGGCAGCAGGAGGACCCACGCTCAGCACCGGGACGCTCGGCTCGTCGGGGCTCCCAGCCCGGCAGCGGGATGCGCCGTGCGTCGTGGCTCCCCGACCGGCGCCGGGGGTCTCCGCGCCCCCACGCTCCCATCACCGCAGCCCCTGGCCGCCCCTCCCGCCCCTCCCGCCCCTTCCCCGCCGCCCCCGGTTGCGCGGACCCCCTGGAACCGCAGCCCGGCCCCGGGGCGGAGCGGGGCGGGGCGTCGCGGGCGGCGGGCGGGAGGCGACGGCATTCGGGCGGCGGCAGAGGGATGAACGGGACGGGCCGGGAGCCGTGCGGGCACGGAGAGGCGCTGGCGGCCGGCGCTCGGCCGCTGGTCAGCGCGCTGATGTTCTCCGCGGGGCTGCTGGGCAACCTGCTGGCCCTGGGGCTGCTGCTGCGCTGCCGCCGCCCGCCCCGCGCCCGCGCGCCGTCCCTGTTCCACGTCCTGGTGCTGGCCCTGGTGGTCACCGACCTGCTGGGCACCTGCTCCGTCAGCCCCTTGGTGCTGGCCTCCTACCACCGCAACCTGACGCTGAACGCCCTGGGGCGGGGAGGACACATCTGCCTCTACTTCGGCTTCGCCATGAGTTTCTTCGGCCTCGCCACCATGCTCGTCCTCTTCGCCATGGCGCTAGAGCGCTGCCTGGCCCTGGGGCGGCCCTACTTCTACGAGCGCTTCCTCAGCCCCCGCGCCGGCCTGGTGGCCCTCCCGGCCATCTACACCTTCTCAGCAGCCTTCTGCTCCTTGCCTCTGCTGGGCTTCGGGCGCTACGTGCAGTACTGCCCCGGCACCTGGTGCTTCATCCAGATGCGCGTGGACGACGGCCGGCACAAGGCAGCCGGTTTGCACCTCACCTTCTCGTTGCTTTACGCCACTTTACTCCTCTTCCTCATCCTGTCGGTGCTGCTGTGTAACCTCAGTGTCATCGCCAACCTGGCCCGCATGCATCGCCGCGGGCAGAGGACGCGCCGGCTGGCCGCGCTCGAGCAGCCGCGAGCGGTGGGGGGCTGCAGCCGCCGCATCTTCTCCATGGCCGAGGAGATCGACCACCTCCTGCTCCTCGCCATCATGACCATCACCTTCGTCATCTGCTCCTTGCCCTTCACGGTGAGTGCCGCCCCCTCTCCCCGTTTCCCAGAATCGCAGACTCATAGACTTGTAGAATCGTGGAATCGTAGAACGGTTGGGTTGGAAGGGACTTTAAAGATCAGCCATTTCCAAGCTCTGACGTGGGCTGGGTGCCCCCCAGCTCAGGCTGCCCATCCACGGCCTCGGGCATCTCCAAGGATGGGGCACCCACAGCACTCCATGCTGCTGCCCAAAATTTAAGGGCTGAGATCAACGTGATTTTTCTCCCAAAACTTGGGAGACCCCAAACTTTTGGCAATCGAAGCGAGGGATTCCCAGCAGCAGCAGTGGGATGAGCGGATGGCAGCAGTGCCCTCCCACCCTGCAGAGGCACACCGGTGTCTCTTGGACCAAATGGTTCCCAAGCCCAAGGGCTGGGCACTCATTGTGGCAGATCAAGGAGCTGGACGTGGGAAGATTGGGTTGGGGTTGGGGATGGGAATGGGGTTGGGGTTGGAGATGAGGTTGGGGATGGGGATGAGAATGGGGTTGGGGTTAAGGATGCAGATGAGGAAAACATCTGTGTGCTGGTCTGGATGAGGATGTCACGTATCAATGCTGCATAAGCAGACCCTGCACCACTTTCCCCCCTCTTGGGGCTGCTTTCAGCTCCCCCATGCTATGTTTCCCCAATAGCACCTCATTCTCCTCGTCACCTCCAGCACCCACCTGTGAGCCCACGGCTGCAGGAGGAGATTTTGCCGTTGTTTTTTTCCCGTTAGAAGCAAACCCCGCTAGGGTTAGGCGTGCTGCCAGCACTAATTTTGTGCTCGTGGGCTCAGGCGGACGCTACCTTCCTTTTGCACTCACAGAAGGAAGAGTCCCGGGGGAAGATAATGTAACCGCA